CGAAAGAACACATTACAGTGAGAAATGGAGACAGACGTGAGAAGAACTAGAAAAGAAGGCCCAGGACGATGTGGGTTGGAGAATGCTGATCGGTAGCCTATGCTCAATTGGGAGTAACAGGCGTAAGTAAGAAAGGTCATTAGTATCGATTGAAATCGTTAGTTATGCATACTAATCGACATAACAATACAACAAAACGCGTGAGCACTAGTCGGAGGACAAATGGAATGATGGGTTGACATAAGTAAATTAGATCGAGAAAGTTAAAGTTAAAACGGGGATTAATAATAGGGCTGTGTTTCTTTTGTTGGACTTACAGTCTAAGTTCACTATTATTTCTGCTATAATAATAGCCCTAATCCTAATCCGTTGGGCTTTCTGTCCTTACTACACAAATCTAAATCTGAAATGAAATGGAGCTTTTGCATCGGTAATAATAATTCCCCGGCCAAATCAAATTTCAACTAAAATAACTACGAGCGTAACTATACTCAACTTTGTTAGTTATGTTTACATTTATCTAGTCTTATGATTTGTCATAATATGATGTAATTTTTATTAAAATAGACTATTCTGTGGATTTTACTATGGTTCGCCGAGCTCGATTTAAGTTGAATTAGACGATTTTAAGTATTCTTCTTAAGCAAACAGATTTGACTAGTTTTACATATTTTAAATGTCAACCATTCGTAGCATACACCTGAATTCAGACCCCAAAGTACTAGAACTTCTCTCTTTTGTGCAAACACACTTTTGAAGTTTCTGTTGAATAAATTGGGAGATTTTGGGATAAATTCAACTGTTAAAAGTTTTTTTCTGTTTTAAAAAATGTAAAGCTTGTACTTCATCAAGGTACTATTTATCACAGACTTTAAAACTCGATCGTTTTCTGACTTGTGAAGAATAAAGCGGATAATTCGTAGTGAATTGTCTTTTACTATTTCTCAGATTCTGAATAAGTGACATGATATACAGTTGTGTATTGTTCTAAGTCTTTCCTCGATACATATCAAATTTCGTGTTACGTTTCTAAAAATATGAGGACACCGTATTCGACTAATCCCTTCCTTATGAAACAGGCCTTGTAAGAGGTTGATGGTACATCTGACAATCATTCATCATTCACTAGAATAAAACACACACAAAACCTTTGAATTTTGGTGGTTTGCAATATCATTTATAGGTGGCACAACTAGGTCTGATACGTGACTTGTGCTGAAAAAATCCAAGGGTCTGGTAGTTACCGTCGTCTGACAGATGAAAGAAGTCAGGTTGGTGGTTGCAGTAGATTTTTATTTAAATACTGAAACAGGGTAGCTGGTGCGGGAGTTTCCAATTCCAAACACAGGATTTTCACCACTCAATATAGGGTAATAGAAAATATAATCCCACTGTAAAATAATAATGCGAATATATACTTGAGATATAATGTTTGGAATTCACCGTGGTGTTTTCGATCAACTCTTAATCATCCAATTTAAGTTCTTGCAGGAATACTTAATCCGGAGTATCTCTGAAATCCTTTTTTCCAGTTTGTAAAATTTAATTAGTTTAATCTAGACCAGAAGAGGTCGTTGAGTTCGTCAGAAGTTCTGGACGTTAAATATCATATATTATACTGAAGACACCCTGACGATACGATTTTAAAACAGTCGAATGACGAATATCAAAGAAATCTTAACCGTTCCAGCCAACTTAGATTGAAGTTACATAATTGTTCATGACAACTTACGGTGGTGATCGTTATCTTTTGTAAGTAGAATTAGTTCAGCACAGTTGAAAATGGTTCAAGGATCCTAACACCGAAAAGGTACATGCGACTAACTCAATAACATCAGGTGTTGTATATCTGAATGAATATGAGAAATGTAGTCCAGGTGATGGAACTCTTGTTTGGAGTTTCCTGATAGTGTTACTCTTTCGCAATGATCTCAAGAAGAATGATGCGATAATAACTGGGCATGTAAAAAAGGAATGTTCCTTGAACACAGATGTAAGTTATCGCTATGTCACTGTGATATGAAGAATGACTAATCTTAGACGTGCCACTGAAATAAGATTATATAATAGTATCCATCCAATCAAGTTAAAGCATTGCCAGATTAACTAAAAATAAAGACCGGCAAATACATCTCAATATCTGGAAATTGCAGATCAGTAGTAGCACATGTAAGTAGTTCCAAGTTTACAAAGTATATTAAAACGCCGTTAAAAGTTAGTTGATTTATTGACATGTAAATGACACTATATAACCATACCAGCTACATTTATAAAGAAATATTCTGCTTCTTTTACTGATAACAGTTGCGTGATCCATAGTAAATTTTACTTTCTGTTAAGTTAAATAAACAAGTTTATAATAAAAATGACTCGTTCAGATATGTCTGTAAGCAGGTCGTGTGTTATTATAATGAATTCATACATGGATTCACGAGTTTGTCATGTCGATTTACCATGTCTTATTAATATTGCATCATATAAACAAATATACACAACCATAGAATGTATAATACAAACATGGATAATTAAGCAGGCGCCATTAAAAAAAACCATAACGAAGTCAGCTTAGAAATACCTTAAATTACTGTGTAATACAATCTTTGGTTTTCTAATCGACTAACCATTTTTATTTTCCTAGAGATTTAGTACATGTCCGTAGGTTTTTAGAACATCTACTTTTCAATGTTTTGTATCTTTGTGGTATCAAATATTTTCGTACATGTTATAGTTTGTTTAACAGGTGAAAATACAATTTTCACTGAGGTTTTCATTGTTAGCTCTAAATTTCGCTTTATTTGCTTTTTCATATGGTTAACTGGGATTCATAAAAATGGCATAGTCATGCAATACTAATGTAGATAGATCAAGAGCAAACAACACAAGCCAATCAGAAGCGTCTCAGGAATTTCAAGGTCACAGCGCCAATTTCACTATCCAGTGCCCTTGTACGAAAGGCCAGGACGTCAAGCCATCGGTTTTCGCGCACGTGTTACACATTGTCGAACATCTTGGGTCCCGTTATCAGCTATTAACAGCATTTTTTCCGTATCACGTCAATTTTCGTGCTTGTTACATGATTTTTAGTTCAGTTTATTAGTAGTTTGATTTGTTGCTTACAACCTGGGCGAATGTTTAGACAGACTAGTGTGGTTCACAGCGAATTTTAGAGAAAATGTGATGATTGAGCGACTACAACAGACGGGACTATTAAAATGTTCCTGTTTGCGATTATGGTGATCAAATAACTTGTATAGACTACCGTGATGTTATCTTTTGATGTAACATATATTGAAGGAAGTCGGCTAGAATAGGATTTCTTCCGCTCTACCTAGATTGGGACTTAAGCAAATTATGACAGTTGTTGCGAACTGGATAATAGAAGCACCAGTAACACTGACTACACCCGGGTACTACAATATGTACGGTTGTTTGGAAGGCGTACAGATGGATACATAGATTTATGTGCATCGTGTCGTTATCCACAAGTGGCATTTTATGGACCCAACTACCGGAGTGCACACAAAAGGTAATGAAGCTATGTGGACGAGGCTGAGAGTTTTTGCGACTATATCATGGATGATTTCCTCTACTGTATTCGTTACGATTTTAGAACCTCATTCTAACCTTGACAAGTTTTTGAACCATGTAAAAGTAGCGTATCTACTTTAATTATTTGGTTTGGTATAATAGAATTTTTCTCTATACTTACTGTTCCCTGATTGGCTAACATTTCTTAAGGTCACGTAAGATTCGTTCAAAAGTCGTCCATAAATTATAGTCTCGCCGTATAAACATTAGGCAGGTGAAAACATCTGTTGAAAAGAGATTGAACAAATAGTACTATTTCCTATAAACAAAAAAAATAAAGAACCTTCGATGATTCATAGGAAATGAATACAAACTGACTTATCTTCAGATCACATTAGTCCAATTATTGAACAATAAACCCGTTGAATTGTTTCAGATAATTCTATTATGTATTTCTTTAATGTGTTAATACGAACTGGTCTTAATAATTTTTCATTTCAGCATATTTTTTTCCCAACTGTTCACTTAGGGATACTAGAACATCAATATGTAATTGAAAATTGTTAGTTGTAATTTACTTGTCATCAATTAACTAGTTAATAGTAATGTACAGAAAACCGACAATAAATGGTTGAGCATTATGTCGACTTGTCGAGAATGTACTACAGCCAGGTTGGAAATTTCGATTAGTAAATGGAAAGAAATGAAAACTACGTTCTATTTTTTCATCACTACAAAAACACAAACCATTCCCATTTGTTCTCTTACAGACTACAAAAACAGCTTACGTAGTATGGAGTGAAAGTCTACATTTGCAGGGTGAAAACAATAGAGTATTAATTTAAGGTAGGTTTCATCACAAGTGTAAACGAAAACAACACCTAGGTCTAGGAATTATCAGTGACTTGTTCTAAATATCTGAGACCAATTAAACTTTATAAATATAACACAGCAAATAAGTCACCCTCATTTCATGAGAAAATCAAACGTCGGCTACCTTAGTTGAAGAACTAATAACAACGGATCGAAATATGTACAGAATTACGACCAAGTGACACAAGTAATCAATTTTTTAGTGATTGAATCGTTATCCAAAGTCTTGGTTAGTATATTTTGGTTTGGACAACTTAAGAAGATGGTTAAAATTAAATGAACTCAGTTGGATACAGTAGTTTCTACTTAAATGTACATTTTGACCAGAATACTAAACAGTCAATTTCGGGTAAGTGCATTTCACGCTTCCTTTCCTTGTAGCTAACAGTGACAATATCTGAAAATTTAATTTTATGGTAAAGTTGAGATATCGGTAATTTGAAATTTACTTAATATGGTCATTCTTAAAATGGATAAAGTGATTATTATTATTATCATTGATTAGATGGTAACAAGGCAGTCAATTATAATTCGAATACTTATGCTACTATGCTGTATCCAATATGAAGACTAATATTTTGGCAAAAACTTAACGCAATCTTGATTATACTAGTATTTCAAGAAGAAACATGTATTTCATATGTGGTCAGTTGCACGGTCGTTAGGATTGATGATTGAATAAAGAGATAAACAATCATAGGATAAACATTAATCAAATTAGAGAATAAATTGTATGTTTAAACTTTTTAAACGTACCTTACATTGCTAATGTGAAAAACATCTTAAAAGGTCTAAACATTCATAACTGTAAAGATAAAAGATTTGTATACGTATACAACAGCATATCTGAATCAAATCTAACATGACAACAGCATTTTGAAAACAAAAATAAGAGAAAGTAAACAACAATTGCATGAGGACATAATACACAGAATATCTGAAGGTAGTTAATATCTGAGATGTAAAGAAATAAGCAAAGAAATGGTAGATCTTAATCATAATAACAGTAAATTAAAACGAGTATAAAGAAGTGATAGGAGAGATTGGCTAAATACTACCTCTTAAAATACACCAACAGATTATGATGACTTATCAGACATACTAAACATGATTAATACTGGAGACAATAATTATAATAATGAAGAATAAAAGATACATTAGAGAGTCATTATATGAAGCAACAATAGAATTATTCATTCAACAAGCGAAGTTGATCTAAGCATAAATGGAAGGCTTTCATCATGTATCTGAAAGATAAAAAATAATAACAGGATAACATTAGCAATAATAAAAATGAATTTATTATGGGATTTTTTTATATAACCAATCGATCAGTTCGATTAAATTGTAAACTGTAATGGTAGTCTGAATTCACTTGGTATTGTTCACTAGAATCTTCCTATTGGTGTTAAGGACTACGATTGATCAGTCTCTTATTGAAGCGAACGGTATTAGGTCCAAGTCCCAGAGTGAACATCAACTGTGAGATGCAGGTATATCCAGCTGACGAGTCCCGAAACGGGACGAAACACGTTTCCTGGATTCCACTGCTAGTCACTATCCATCTTTGTTAATAATGTTATGGCAATCGTTATTTTTTCCAAGGAAATAGTCCATAAAAAATCAGTGGAAATAATGTCTAACACGATCAATTAAATGGAAAAAAGCAAGTTTAAAAGAAATCTACTAGTAATCTGTTATAATTCTCTGTTACTATAGCCCAGCTAATCCTATTGTTTAGTAATCTTGGATACCAATTCACTCAACAAGTCCCCAAACCAGAACACAGTTGAACAAGCACGAAATTATATCCCAAAGAACTAGAGTAGATGGAAGTAGTGTTTTCATAGATTTTGCATGAGAAGTTTCTAGAGTCTCCTCCAAGTATCGGCTAGCGCTGATTGGATGAGAAATACTCAATCGGCGTGCACCAACACAATCCTGCACAGAACATGCTAATCTAATCTATGTTCCCGACAACACAATCAAACATTCCAGAAATGTGGTAGTCATCGAGTGAACGATAATGTCAAAACGGATGGATAGAGCTAAGGGTAAACATGAGGAGATGACGGAGCTGTAAATATGCATCGATAAAGGTGCCTTAGAGAATGAGTTCAACAGATTATGTTTGGTGAAGTTATCTATTTCGATTTGAAATAGGAGGCTGTGTTGATAACGATAAGCCTAAACAGATAAATGTTCGTCATACAGTAGCAAGTTTGAACGCATAAGTAATTGATTTCCAAACTATATTATAGTATGTAGTGAATCATATGCATCACACAAAGGTTGTAAATACATCAAAGAGATATTTGTTAAGCATCAAGCCAAAACAAAGTGATGAACTATGGGGAAACGTGCACTTCAGAACCGAGTCGATAATTTTCATGATCATACTGAGTATCTTGACAACTATGAACTTCACTAGTAAATAAGGCATGATTCTCTAATTGATGCATATTAAGGATTAGAGCATATACGGTAAAAACTTAAAATGATTTAAGAGATAGATTGAGCAGCTTCATGTAGAATGATCAATTTGTAATAAACAAAACATCATGAGAATTATACCTATAAACTCCATCAAATTAAATTTGATTTATATCAGAAACGGTTTTTGTGGATATTATAGTAAATTTAATAGTTGAGATCATGAGTCAATTGAAGCTAGATCACCATGAAAAGCCTGGAAGCACTGGACGACAATTTCGTCCTATTGTGGAACAACCACAGCGCGAGAACACTTAACCTCTAAACCACTGAGCCGATAAATCCTGGCTTTGAATCCCGCGAGAAAGGACCGTGCATAAGCACTGCTGAAAAGTCTCACAATAGAACGAAACGGTCGTCCAGTGCTTACAGGTTTTCCATAGTGATCTCGCTTCAACTGACTCATGATCTCAACTATTAAATCTGATTTGATGAAATCTTTATAAGTAATAAATAAAACAGTTAGAGAAACAGAAATAACGATTAAGTGAAATACAAGAGATCAAACTAGATTGTTTTCAAAAGAAAACAATGATAACAGAAGAAGAAGAACATGAAACTCTTCTATGAGTCTATCACTTCTACATGTAATCAACTTTGTTACACATATTGTTCGTAAGATGAGACCAATCAAGAACCAGAACCAGCATACATATATTGTCATAAATAGTAACAACTTCTTGTTCTTCTAACAAACACATCTCTTCCAATTTGTTATTAATTGGTGGTATTATCAATTGTCGTGCTGCTCGTTCTACCTGTTGCATCACATGAATTCATTGTCATAGTTGTACAGTTATTCTTTCTTTATTTTAGATAACAGTTAAATTAACATTTTACTTACATTACATTATGTATAGTGTATCTAACACATCATATGGTTTATTTAGTAACAAAAAAAAACTAATCGGTAATCTATAGTTGTTAGCTTTTATTCGAGAATTGATTGAAATGAAGTGGTGAGGTTTTGTCCACTTCTATTCATCGATTTTTCTTGACCTTAATCACTTTACCTAGTCTACAACAACAACAACAACAACTACTACTACTATGGTTGTGTAACAGTTGGAGAGACTAGGAAAAAATCTCTTAATTGTATTGATGATCTCAGTCTTAACCAAATATAAAAATGTTCACAGAAACCGGTTCATACACTAGATATGTGTGTGTGCATAATTATTCATTTAACTATTTGCTTATATGACTGTATAGGTAGTCATATCTGTTCAGCTGTTTTGTTTTAAGGAAATACTGTATAGACAAACACATACACAAGGTGGATTTTCAACTCCAGTATGACAAGAAAAAAAATCGTTGCAGGATAATTTTTTTAAAAGATAGTTTAATTGAGATGTACGAGTAGGAAATATGACTAACCCAACTATATGGACATCAGACAGACAAAAATCACCAACATACATTCCTCCACAGATGTGTTGGCTCAAATTGTTATACTACATTAGCACGACGAGATGAAAGTAAAAAAACGAGATTGAAATAATATAGTAGCAGTGAAATAAAAACTAAACCTTAGGAATATGGTTTGAAAAAACAAAGTGGAAAGGTATGTGTGGAAGGATACTGGAATTCAAGATTGAGAGGAAGACAAAGAATGAATGTGCCTGCCGCATTGTGAACGGTTCCAAGCTGCCATGCCGTCCCCAATCACTGGTAGCTGTTATCACGTGAACCGTAACAGGTGGTGAGTACAAACCTATATGGTTCGGATCAAAACTCAGTGACTTTATGGACGGATGCGACGTTTTGGTCTGTCCTCTCTTAGTTTTCTTCCAACTTAATTCTGCACTACCAAGCATCGGTTGTTGATGTAGGGACAATAGTTAGGCATACATAACATATGTCCTAACTATTTCAGTCGATGAAGATTAGCGACCTCATTACCGATTTGTATTATCTAAACATGAAGAATTGGCCTTGGTCAAACAAACATATATTAGTACACATATATAGCATTTCAGTAACGACTAGATGTTATATGTAGAGTATGAATGCTATTATATGAGATATGAAGGGATGTTGTCATATCCTAGTGATCATGATGACGGTGAGACTTTTGAACATGAGATACTTCATGCGATCAAAAGAAAAATATTTATTTGGTTAGTGCATTTAATAACTATCTTAAGTGGATTTGTATTTCATTGTTCTAAATATTCAACTACCAACTACATAATCTTGAGTCCGAACCTATCAAATCTATTTCAGTTGGTTTGGGTGAGTTATATCATTAGTTCCAGTATGAGGGATGTTGGTTACATTCAACTCGACTGATAAATTGATAGTTCAAATTAATTTATCCACAACTTTTGAAAATTGTAGTTAGGTTGAGGTGTTAATGGAAAAGAAAATTCAGATAAAGTTAGTTAAATAATTGCATACATTTCAAGATTTTCTATTGTGTTTAGTGTAACACATAGAATAGTAGATAAAAAAAGTAATGAAATAACAAGTGGACTATAACTACTATCTATTTCAACCAATAAGTAGCAAATACAGTGGCGGATGTGGGGGAAGAGAATATAAAACTTCCTTGTTAGAGTTCACATGATTTTACATACACAATTTAATGGATGATTATTGATTATAGGCAAACAACGTATCTTAAAATCGATAATGTAACCTAACTTTCATTATATCTACTTTTTTCCTCTACTTATTGAATTTCTTTATTTTGATATCAATTTATTGTATGAAACCAATGGTTGGAGACTCTGAGTGACATGGCTCAGAATCTATCACGATGGCGTAGGTGTATACACTTTCTGTCTTCCCTTAAACTATGATATTAAAATCGCTTCATATCTTTCTTTCCACAAACTAATTCTTTCTTCCTTATATGCAATCTTTCTTTTATAGATTACCACCATTGAATTCACTAATTTTATGAATCCGGTGTTCATCTTGTTGTGCTAATGACGTATGGCAACTTGGACCGATACATATATGTGCCTGGTCCTATGTTGTAGCTGACTGATTGATTGAGTCTATAAGATCGGGAAGTGAAGTATCAAATTTTAAAAGATACTTTTATTTAATTCAGAGATAATCTATTGAGAATTATTTATTGTCAATTAATTTTAATACTATGAGACATATCTTATGCAATGGTGAGAAAAGTTAAACATTTTGTTATAATATAGCTTTATGTATTCATATGATACATCGTTTGTTTTACATGTATCCACTCTTACAGTCTATCTAACTGACCATACAATATGTGATTAAGATACATTAGCAACTTAATAATATCTATCCAAAAAAAGAATTATAGTAAATGTGATCATATAAAAATAAGCATAATATTGGACATACTCATGTTTGAGATCCAATAACTTTCTCAACTCTACATCCGAATAGTTATCATCATACAAAGAACTGAACTTAGATGAATTCTTTGAATGAAAGTAGGTTTGATTTGTCGGAAAGTTGTCAACTTTTTTTGATGTAGGATGTAAACATATTGCAGAATTTATACAATTGCTATGATTATTTTGAATTACTTCTGAACAAGGAGTAATGTATTTTTCCAGTAGTTGATCGATACGATCAATTGCTTTAACTAATAAAGACTCTAAATGCAAATGGTTCTCATGTACATTAAGTGGATTATTTTTTAATATACTATTATTGTTGTTGTCATTTACTTGACTGTTGTTCATAGGTTCAATAATATTTAAACTTTTTGATGTGACCAATTGAACTAAACCAGCCAATGCTTCAGCTTCCGAATGTGCACGAAAATAAACAGATCTGTAAAACAGAGAGACAAAAAAAGTCTATTATATAATGAGATCATACCGATTCGAATTAGGAATAACTATGACCAAGACATACCACTAAACCGTAATTTTAATAGGGTTGAAATGTTCGAAGACAGAATGCCATAAACTTTAAATAAACAAGGTATACAATTTGATACTAAGCGGCAGTTATATAGTTACATTTCATATAGATTTTGTCAACATAACAACTCATTATTCACTAATTTCTGGTTTTATGAAATCGATTTCCTCATAAAAATCTTCAATTTACTAACTGAAAGCAAACAATTGACTCAACTTCGTTATGTCATTATAATCCGTTAGCTAGCAGGCACAATTTGAAGGGGAAGTAGTGTTCAAATAAGAAAACATAGGACAATTAGACGTCTTGTTACTATTGAGTAGTTAACAATAACAATTATACAACACTGATCAGACAACGTGAGTTTATATATATATATATATATATAATATACCGATTAGTTATTGATTTTATTATACCCATAACTAGTCGATCTGTCTGGATACACATTTAATTCGATCACTCTGTTGATAATGTCTGAGGATTATAAATAACATATAGTAGTGTGATAAGCGTAGTCACAATCATAGTTTCAGCTAATCTTAAATTCTGAGTACTGAATGAGTTCCTTGAAAGTAAAGCAAATAATATGATGAGATAGCATGGATGCAGTTAATACAAAATGAACAATTTTAGACTTGTAAAAGTGATAATGGTTAAAGTTATTCATGAAAAAACAAACTAATTGATACATCTTTTAACTCCCTATTAATTTATGCCTTTGAAATGTTGTCATACTGTTTTCTGTGAATAATTTTTCTTTGGTACTAATATACTATCAGACTTATAGTTTGTACAAAACTCCGAACCACTTTCTGCCAATAAACAGGAAAACTAAGTCATCACAGTTGAGAAAATGTTGTAAACATTTACTACCCATTCTATAATTATATTATAATAACAATAATGAAAATGAAAATAATGATCATTTACTCACCTTAAATAATTTAGTCGTTTTTCAAGTATACAAGCGAAGTCATTAATTTCAGTTAAAATATCCGAAGTAGTTGGACAATGACCAGATATTTCATTTGAAATTTTTTCTGTATCAGATATTAAACTAGTTGATAAAAGTGAAGTTAATTCATCTAATGATCCATCATGTAATTCATTTTTATTTATTTCCTTATTATATTTAATATTCTCTTCATTCCAAGCTAATATACTACTTGTATGAATAGAATCATAACTATTATTGATTTTCTCATTAGATACAAGTTTGTTTAAAGATTTCTGAGAAGGATAGGAATTATTATGCTCTATAGGATAATTATGAGTTGTATTACGTGAATCTGGAAAAGTATGTAATTCAAGAAGACTTGAAGGAGGTGATGTATTAGACTGAAAAGGAACTGTTTGTGTAACTGTTAAACTACGACCACGACCACTACTTGAACTATCATGTTTATCACTAGTTGACTTATGAATTAATTCAGCAGAGGATGAAACACTTCTGTTATTGATATTATTTGAGGATGTAGAAAGATGCACTTTATGTTCATGTAATGACGACTGATCATCCAACACAGTAGATTCAGCAGAAATCTGATTAAGAGAGAACAACAAATTATTAGACAAAAGAAACACATCTGTATGTCTAAATAAGAAACTCTGGAGAAGATGGACACAAAAATATAGGGGATTGCAGATGAGATAATCTGTTACTCATCTTTTATTGTCCTGATATATTTACTTGAGCATTTCATGTTCATATTTATAAGTTTATTGGTAAGGGCTTTTTTCTTTTATACATCTAAGCTTTATTTAACTTACAACTTCAGTCAATCTACCTATTTTATAGCTGAAATCATGTACTCTATAATAGTAATTTTCTATTTCGAAAACATATTTATACATGTAGTAACTGTGTAAATGATTCCTACAAGTTTCTTTTCATAATCATTATCTCGTCATTCTACTTTATGCTAGTTTACATCCTGTTAACATGATAGGATTACAAACATTCCTTTTTCAAAAACATGAGATTATTATTTTCAGTTCGTAAGCAACAGAAGACAATTCTTAAGGTTTACGAATTCACAGAATTAAGCTACGATTGACGCTCTTTCCCCACTGAAATTTATAACGATAAAGAGTAGTATAAAAATCTCAGTTGTTACATACGTTTCCCAAGATCTATTCTCGTTCAAGATCGGGATCGGTGAGAAAATTATTAGTTTAAGCACTTCAAAAATGCCCTTATTTTTTCATATCCAGTAAATTGAGAAGTCGAAATCCTGTCGATGATAATGGGATAGGGCAACGAATGGTTTGAAATATTGGTAGTTTATTAAGCTAACTGTACTGTTGAGTACAATGTATCACACTTTGATAAGCCATAGTTGTTAAAAACATTCGAATAGGGCTTGCCAATCCAAGTTCACTAGATTAGTAGTTTGTACACATGTGCGGTACTATGCCTACTAGCCACCACTAATTGCTCAGAGGTTAAAGATGATACCGCAAAAATGTCAGTCTACGTCAATGGATACTTTCTGATCTCATTATCTTCATCACAGAAAGACAGCGAACAAATTTAGTCGATTTTAAATAGAATTGTTTAAGATAATTCTATTAAAAGCATTCTACTGTCACAAGATTAATTCAAAAGCAAATTACTTGAAGTGAAATTAAGACCAGATTCATTGTTTGGTTTGGTGCTCAGTAGGGCAGAACACTACACTAATTAAACATAAAATATTACGTCATATTTTGTTGTAATTCATAACTCAACCCCAGATACTTGGAAGTTTGTTCAGGTTGGGTATTTCAAGATAGTTTGAGGTGTACGAAAGTTTAACTTAGATAAAGCAGAAAACTTTGGCAACAATCACGCTACTGAGCACTACCTCTTGTCTGAATTGTCAGAGACTGAATAGTATAACTTCGTTATAACCATCTAATAAGAGCCATTTAATTTAAAAGTTCAATGTTTTAACGATAAACAAGACAATAAAAAATAGTGCAACTTACAAAATTTTTACTTCCAAAATATTCCTTATTAGGTGAACGTGTTAAATGAGAGCCAGAATTTTTTAATTTCTTAAATTCAACTGGAGAACTAGGCATAAATTGTTGCATATTCAAAGAATTCTCTAAACTAGGTAGAATATCTGCATCGGATAAATTAGAACTGACATAAAACAAAACAAAGGAAATTGTTGTAAAACACACGGAATAAGAAATAAGATTCAAATAAATAAATCAGCTATATATTCCATTAATATCAGAAGGGTTTTTGTGGGTATTATAGTAATTTCAATAGTTGAGATCACGAGTCAATTGAAGCTAGATCGCCATGGAAAACATGGAAGCACTCAACCGTTTCGTCCTATTGTGGGACTCCTCAGAAGTGCGCATGATGAATATAACGCATAATAACATTTATAATTACAAGAAAATCATAATAGATTATAATATTGAGGAAAGTCATACTAATCATCTCATTGTGTAATTAACCTGGATACCAAAATTTTTCTACAGCTGATATATGCAATATGCAACATAAACTTTTTTTGTTGCTGGGGGAGAAAATCTAATAAATAAAAAAATTAACCAATCGAAATTTAGAATACAATAACCAATGAAAATTGATCTACGTAGAACATGATCATATCATAAAGATGATGAGAATTTTTTTCTTTCAATCTCCATCGATTGTATTTCTATTGAAAATAAATGAGTTTCTTTGATCGAAACATGATAGGATGTAATCGATTTTTCTCTATAGTTCAGAATTAGAAATAAAACTCAATTGAATAGATAGTAGGTTCCAAAAAAAGGTTTCAGTATAAATTCGATCCATAAACATAAATAAATGTACTAGAACACTATAGACAATTCTACTGAACAATCTGTTCTACAAGCCATTCTAATACAATTAACTAAATTAATTTAGAATATATATAGAACGATAGTAAACGAAAAGATATTGAAGTGTTTGGAAACTGTTAACTAGTGGAGATATTTAAGTACAAGATCTTGGGGTTTTTCAGCGACCATGATATTTTAGTTAATTTATTTGAACACATAAATATTGGTACAAAGGGGCACCAAATACATATGTGCCACACAAGTCACTTGATTTGTGTGAGGGCTGGGATACTGTCCGGGTACCCAGAATGAAGATGGTGGTTTTCTTAGGGGCAATAACCAAAGCCTTAGACCTAAGGGTCTGATCCACAAGGCAAAGGAACAACGTCAGAAGATGCAATACTGTGGTAGCCAGTGGCCAACAACAGGTTCATACACCATTTGTTCCTTCAGGATATTGAAGCTCATGTGCACCATTGGTTTGGAATCAGGGTTTTCCAACTCCCTTCGGTGGACTCTCCGTATATATATATACTATGAAACAAAAAATCTGCACTAATTTAGTAATAACTCCTTATAGGAACATAAATCATTCAGGAAACTGCGACATCATGGATCGACTTTAGTTAGATGACTAGTGAAAACCAAAGCGCGCTGGACATCTGTTTTGTTCTAATATTGGACTGCTCAGCAGTGCACATCCACAGCCACACTAGAGATAGAACCAAGAGCCTTCAGGTTTCGTGACTAGTGCCTTACCCTCAGACAAAGGAGTTGGACATGAGGCTCGAAAGTTCTGGCTTCGATTACTAAAGTGATCATGTATATGGACTCCAGAAAAGTTCTATACTAGAATGAAGCAGATTTCTAGTGCTTCCTGGTTTACAGTGGTTGTCTAAATAAAGTTAGTCTAGGAAGAGAAACTACAAAACTCAACAATCTTCATAGACTTTTATAGAAAAATAATAAACCAGCATACTTTTTAGACTTTGATATAATATAATATATAATATAAAAGAGCGCAACATCGGTCGATAACATGATGACAGAACAGATGGCAAGAACCACCTAACACATTAGGTTGGTACATTTACTAAATGCCCGATGTTCCAGGAAAGGAATATTACAGTTATGAGCAAATTGATTTACGCCACGACATAAAAACACAATTGTAGTGGGTAAAATGTTTGAATTTCAGGTAATGGATCACTGATTTCAATTCGGTCCTTATCCAAATTTAGTTTGGATAAACGGGTAATACTATTTTTACCTATGAATGAAGTTTAAAACTTATTGTACCTGAAATTAATGAACGTAATTTAGGGTATTAGATATTAAAGAGAAGACAATCTGTTTGACAATTAACATTGTCGTTTACTTAAACGTTGCATCACAGTTAATAACCGATTTTAAAATTAAAAGTAAACAAAACAAAATATAACGGAAATATTGGGAATAATAATCTATTCAAGACATAGAGGCAGATTTGTGTTCAAAGCAAAAAAGATCAATTAAATGTGAGTAGAACACAGAAATAAAATGCTGAAACTGATTATAGTGAACTTGGAATGCATCTCAGTGTAGATCGTGGCATAATTGTTAAAGTTGAAGGAAGCTATTCATAGTACATTCACTTTAGTGACATTGTTGTGAGACTTCAATGAAAACAATTTATTATTCTCTAGTTCATCTAGAAAATCTTGGTTTAAAGAGGTACCAAGTAATGAAGCATACAAGAATTAAGAAAACAAGCTATCCATTTAGATAAGCTTTAAAATCCAGCACAGAATGTTAAACTAATCTAAATGTTCTTGAACCCACTTGGTATTACATCACTCGAATTTTGCGTTTCTAGAGAAATCACTCTAGGCTCGTTTATTTGTAATGATACTTACGACAAGGTATAAAATCAAATAAGGTTAGCTTACTGGACGATTTCTAGATATCCATTCATTGCATTTGGTGTTGCTGGAGGTGAAGTGTCTGTATGTACCTGTAAGAAATTGGAAAGACACGAAGCAACAGGATAACTTGGTTTCACGTTATCCGATTGGACTGCAAATAAATTTGATTTTTGTAGTAATGAATTGGCATTATCAACGGGTGGATAAGGGTTTCTAGTTTGGAAAGATGCTGGAGTCCGCTTCACTGGTGTACTTTGATCAATAGACCGATCAGATTGGTGAAAGGATGTAGAAAACATGGGTGCACAAGTCATACTATGACGTGGTAATTCAGGAGAAGTAGACAACTGGCATTCTAAAAGGTTTATTTCAATTAGAGTAAACAAATAAATAAACGAAATATACGGTAAAATATTGACATTGTTTAGTTAAGATTTTCTTATGTACCGAAGTTAAATAGAATTAAAAATATAATTCAATAAACACGTAAATAGAAGGGTGAAATATTAATCGATATACCGTATCAGTGATGAAGCTGTTAAACCCTTAAAAGCTAGGCGGGTTTTAATCTCATCACTTATTGACTAAAAGATATGATCTGAAAGCTAGTGTTCGGAAATCAAATGAAATTTTATGGTAGCTGGCGAAGTACGATATTTGCTCACTTCGGATCTTAAAGACTATATAATTAGGAATCAGGGTTTTAAAACACTCTTAAGTTGATTGTTCGTACCCACCACCCTAGTATCCGACTTTCCGTTTCTGTAAAAACACCATGACATAAATATAGTGGGCAAAACATACTCAAGATTACATACGCCAGTACGTATGGAGGCATTCTGACTGTTAAAGGTTGGATATATGTATAGGGAAGAGTAACCTCTCTCTATCCTGGTTAGACTTGATTTTTGCAACTTGAGGACTCTGATAATTTCTGTTCATGAAGAATTGCAACACTGTAAATAATTTTGGGATCAGGTAATATTTTAGGTGTAATGGTAGTAAAGTTGATTTTAAGATCATGTAACGCCGGCTCAAACGACTTGAACATGTTCCATGAATACAAATCCAACAGCTTTCCCAATACTAATTATTTCCCGATGACAGGGTAGAAAAGAATGGAGGTGATTAATTTATGTCAGTGTGTTATGGAATGAAAGATAGTTGTTCGTGACTACTGATCAAATGGGTGGATTCCTAGAGATCACGCAATTGATTGGCATAGGAAGTTATCAAACATGGTTCAGAAAAGAATCTAGTAGAGATCCTGGTGTGGTTTATTTATAATAGTTAGAGGAACCTGGTTAGCATAAGTAAAAAATTTTTAGTCGTACATTTTACAAGTTTATTAATTTATTGCTCGTATGACTTCCTTTATTTCTATTTTATTTCCAATAGTATCATTCTGTTTGGAGTGGGGTTCTTCTATGACTTCTAATTGTACCAAAAACCTCATACTACAATTAAAAAACCGTTTTGGTGACGGCCTTCTGAATATTTTCTTTGAACTTTTGCTCATTATACATTTTGGCATTCAGTAATAAATGGACAATTAGTTATATTCAAACTGGATGATTTCATCTCATTCACTTGTCATATACATATTCATTTTTAAATTTCACAGTCAAATAACAGTTAAATATTAGTAAATGCGGTCGAACAACTACCTACACAGTCATGTGAACACACACATATCTAGTGTATGAACCGGTTTCTGTGAACATTTTTATATTTGGTTAAGACTGAGATAATCAATACAATTAAGAGATTTTTTCCTAGTCTCTCCAACTGTTACACAACCATAGTAGTAGTAGTAGTAGTTGTTGTTGTTGTAGACTAGGTAAAGTGATTAAGGTCAAGAAAAATCGATGAATAGAAGTGGACAAAACCTCACCACTTCATTTCAATCAATTCTCGAATAAAAGCTAACAACTATAGATTACCGATTAGTTTTCTTTGTTACTAAATAAACCATATGATGTGTTAGATACACTATACATAATGTAATGTAAGTAAAATGTTAATTTAACTGTTATCTAAAATAAAGAAAGAATAACTGTACAACTATGACAATGAATTCATGTGATGCAACAGGTAGAACGAGCAGCACGACAATTGATAATACCACCAATTAATAACAAATTGGAAGAGATGTGTTTGTTAGAAGAACAAGAAGTTGTTACTATTTATGACAATATATGTATGCTGGTTCTGGTTCTTGATTGGTCTCATCTTACGAACAATATGTGTAACAAAGTTGATTACATGTAGAAGTGATAGACTCATAGAAGAGTTTCATGTTCTTCTTCTTCTGTTATCATTGTTTTCTTTTGAAAACAATCTAGTTTGATCTCTTGTATTTCACTTAATCGTTATTTCTGTTTCTCTAACTGTTTTATTTATTACTTATAAAGATTTCATCAAATCAGATTTAATAGTTGAGATCATGAGTCAGTTGAAGCGAGATCACTATGGAAAACCTGTAAGCACTGGACGACCGTTTCGTTCTATTGTGAGACTTTTCAGCAGTGCTTATGCACGGTCCTTTCTCGCGGGATTCAAAGCCAGGATTTATCGGCTCAGTGGTTTAGAGGTTAAGTGTTCTCGCGCTGTGGTTGTTCCACAATAGGACGAAATTGTCGTCCAGTGCTTCCAGGCTTTTCATGGTGATCTAGCTTCAATTGACTCATGATCTCAACTATTTAATTTAATTTGAATAAATCTTGTACAAAGAACAATAAGTTGTTACTATTTATGGCAATATATGTATGGTTTAACTATTTCGCTGGGTACATAAACGTATAACATTGAATTATATTTCCTCACATTGAAAACTTATTAAATGAGCTTAGAAAACTAGTTTTAGAAATTCGCTGTTCATTTATGCATGAATCAAGACCCAAATATATGAACCAAGGGTTCACATATATCCTTTAGTACACCATTTTCGACTGATCAAAGTCTAAATGATTTTGACAGCATATTCTACAGTTCAAACACGCTCTATAACAGAAATGACCATTGCTGAAACGTTTTTTGTAAACATAAAGTTTTTACTGCAACACAAATGCACACTTTTACACACATGAGAAGAGATGCATCCGAAACATGCTTGTTTAAAGAGATCAGAAGACTGTATTTTATCAACGTCATCACGAGACAGAGCTATATCGCCTGCTTGTTCTACACTAAAAAATGATACCACAGCAGGGAGATTAACCTCTGAGTTATAAAAAAGTGTCATCTGTAAATGTATGTCTATGACGAGGTTAAATAAATGGGAATAGTGGACAGTGCCGGTGAACATCACTTGAAGTTGATAACTCCGATGATAGTTCGATATAAGCTCTGACTTGAAAACTAGTAGTAAACAGCCTTCAAAATGCTAATGCACTTCACTGACACACTCTTCAATGGTAAGCATTGGCACCGTTCGTTTTCATTGAAACTGTAAACAAACTCATTGGATTGCGTAAACTATGTGCAAAAATAGACAAAACATTTAAATAATTATCCATTAGGTTCATTGATCAACATAAAATATTATTAACTTCAGTTAATATCTAATTTCCAATGAGTACCATACGCTTTATTTCACGAGAATTCAACTCATATCATTTGAGAAACGAGTTTTTCAATGATTACGGATTCAAATTTTCGAATTGTGTGGGTATAGTTAGACCAGGGACTTTAAGGCCTAGATCCTATATGCCTGGTTCACAAGGATGCAATTAACATTTCTACAAATATCCAGGATTTTCCCTTGTATTATCGTCGGTTGTGAATGAACCTTATTTTTTTTCGTAGTTGTGGGGTGTATAAAAAGTCACTGTGGCTATCATGTACGTCCAGTTGAAGGCTATTTTGGTTGCTTCTATTTACTGATCGATTTGGACAGCTAGGGACAGGTCATAACAATCAGCTCTGTTGTATATCAGTGCACGTCAAAAAGGAAAGTAGATCAAACTGCGTTTATGAAGTACAGGTTACTGTGACGACCACTAAATTACTTTTGTGTAGTACCTGAACACAATACCTTAACTATGTAATCTTAAGTCCATAATGCTGGATTGCGATTACTTACAGTCAGGGGTACAGACAAGAGAATTAAGACTTTACATTCAAATTATTTGAAAGTCAGGCATATCGTTTTACTGAAACCATTATTATCAACGTGTCAAAACTTGAAATTTATCCACAAAATCAAACTCCAGTGAGACTAAAAATTTCTACACAAAGTGACCATATTAATTTATTAGTCTGCATAAACAATATGAGACCACCCTATATCGGTATGAAAATAAAAAACCGGTAAGGAACAAGATGATAAGGCAAGAATGTGTTGTATCCGAAGTAAATTAAATGAATGGTAACTTCTAAGAATTATTTATAGACTGTTATTATGCATATTCATAATGTATAACTATTAGGTAACTAGATTATATATGTGTATGCTACTTATGCTGACAGATAAAAGTAGTATGTAGCACCAGTCGGAAGGGAAATGCCTGGCAGCAGAAGATTGAAATGAAGAGAATAGGAAGGAAATAAGAGAGCGGTTGAAATTGTTTTAGTATTATAGTTGAAGGTTTGGAAAGCATGGAATGAATTCAGTAAACGAGCCTCCTCAGTCTTACTGTATCGGTTATAATAAACAAACTCCTCCCCTTGAAATACAAATCCCCATGTGATACATTTGATTTAACAGCTTCGAAATTGGAGGATCTTACATTATGGAGTATAGTGATTGATCAATTGGTGATCGATACCGATGGGATGTACGACTTCTCCTTGCAAATAAGATCATGAAGTGTCTCAAAGCTTTGTTTGTTAGACAGTACATCACCTGTGGTAACTATTACCGTGGAATATTACTCAAAGTATGTTAATAAAAGATATTATCTTGTGATTTCTCAGCATCATCATTTTGGTGAATAAAAATTAATAGCAGTATTCTGCTCAATTTCAAATAGTTTTAGCTTTTTCGAAATTTAGAAGGAAATAAGTAAGATTTGAATTGAAAGAATAGATAAACCACCAGAATGTTTTTCTTTTGTACTACAGCCAACAGTTTTATCCATAAAGCTTATGTCTTTATAAAGGTATTTAAGTCGAACTATATATCTCTGAGCTGATTGCGACAATCATTATTAACGGAGTATAGATTATCAATAATGCACATTATTGACCAAGTAATAGGTGGTTTATGATACTAACACTACGGTCAGACCAAAGTAGATGAAGAGTTTCAACTTAAGAACAAATTGTTTAGGATCGAATAACTACATAACTCAAAAACAGCTCCATGTACATTAAAGGGTTGTTGGAGCATGTAAGAGATAGATAAAAAAAAACTGCAGATTGTGGCTGAGTAACTGAAGTACACAAGTTTAAACCCGCAGGCGGGAGTCTAGAACACCCCACTTATTTTCATTTGGGCAGTCAGGTAAAATTAACTCTCAAATAAAGGTTCGCAAAGCTAAGTACATCGGTCCATTTTCCTCGATGAGGGTGACTGGCACTACTTTGTTGTTCGCACCTTGAAAGAATAGATTTTTGAGACCTGGAAGAGTGATTTCAATGTATGAGGCATGGCGATGGCACTATTAATGTCCCAAGTTGGCATACGCCGTTATGGCTTTCACCATACATGGAGTAATCTCATAGCTCACACAACCACTCAGATACATAAACGTTTCGGCTACTTCTAATGGCTCACCACTAAGAATGAGAATGCTCCTGTCAGTCTTATACAAGTACTTAGCATTTAGAAGGTGAAAAATACATATCATAGTCATGGACACTGATTTTCAACTGAATAAGTACATATTGCATAGCTTAAGTATCATCACACAGTAAGGTAATATTATCCACATACGCAAAGTTGAAAAGTCTTTCCCAGTGTAACAGATCCACACCGCCACTACCTGATCCTATCAAAGCTATTTTCAAAACTTCATCGATTACAAAGTTGAGTAGAGGTTCTTTTTGGACTTCCTCCTCATTAGATGAACCTGTCTTTACCGTCCATGGAGTACAGAACAGTCAGATCGATGTCAATGTATGAGCAGATCAGTTGAAATGTTCCTCGAATAACTCTATTATTCGTCCACGATGTTGCTGATTGGCGCCCTATCAGCTTCACAGTTTGTTTCACATACCAAACTTCTTTTGCGAGTGGCTCGAATCAGTTGAAAGAGCCTAAGGGAGTTACCGGGTGTAGCTGATGTTTCTGTCTTGCTAGTACGCCCTGATCGCTAGACTTCCTGGTCCTTACACAAGCTCTTCATAATATCTTTACTTAAGAATAACTCGCAGTTACCCGAGACAGACCATCATACTTCAAGAGTTGGAAGGATTACAGACTTCCATTGCTTATTAGCCGGACGCCTCGAAAAGCTTTAAGAGACAAAACCTTCCATTTTTACAGCATTAGCCGAACGTATCCAGTACTCATCTACATATGTTGATGTACTGACTACATGACATCAACTAAATTTAGTTTGATATTTGATTGTAATAGAAACTACAGCCTAATTAGTCATTTTATTCAGTCTGGGATGAGACGTCCGCTGGCCACTAAAATGTAAGATTAGCTTGGCACAAAGCAAATCACGTTCATAGTTCGGATAAATACTCTAAATGGAACGGCAGTATCATTCCCAAAAACGTCAGCGGGGTGTTCATTCAAAGGGGCGCATATTTCTAAAGGTGAGCATTGAAAGGGTGAATAACATTTTTTAATGGTGTGAATTATATTCGATCTACCTTCTGTAGTGAAAGACTTCTCTGAAGCGAACATAATTTGGACATTAACACCTAAACATGTTAAACTGTTACGAAAATGTTTTATATATATAACACTTAAATCCATACTAAAACAATGTTACAGGCTTTTGATGTATTCAGTCAATTAATAAATTGCCGGGATTATTTTGTTGCGGTTATAAACAGCTCATTTAGGCTGAGTTGTCAACGTATCGGATAGTCGGGTTTTGGATTTTAAATATCTGTCGCTAACTTACACCTTTTACTTCTCTGAATCTGTCGAAAAATATATAGTACGCAACTTCAAGGATTAAAATAAGGTTGCGTAGTGAACGAGGACTTAAAAGACTAATAAGATAAAACCAGGTGTGTAGAAGATAACTATTCTCTTGAGGACTATGAAAAAGGTGAAGAATAAATTATAAACATCATGGTGATAAATTACGAGAAATAAAAAAAACATCAAGACAAAGTGGTAATAAGCGATTGATTGTGTGAAAACTTAGGTATTAAAGTCGTGGTTTGATGACACCTCGGCGTGAAGCCATGCATACATGACTCAGGTTTGAAGTGATGAATAGAAACAAGGCCATAAAGCAACATTAGATGCAGACCTATGGAAACCAGTAACCAACAGATTCCGACATCATTCGTTTGCTCAGGAGCCTGGAGCTAATGCATACCACTGGAGTTACAGTCTTCTAACTCCTCTAGGTGAATTCTCCGTATCTACTAACTCGGTCTAAGCGCCAGCAATCCGCGTCCCATCTTCTTGCTTTACTGTACTACGGCCACGCCGCGAGAAGGCAATGAGTAGGATTACCCTGGCAGAGGTTACAAGCGCGTAACCATATGAGCATTTCTACAAACGAAGATGGCTCTCTGAACTCTCTGCTGTACCAAACCATTTGGGATGGGGGTAAGATGGTAAACATAAAAATATAACAAGTTTGTATTGGTGTATATTTAATACGTGGACTAAAACCCTCGGAAAACTATTGCGAATCAGACGAACGCGAAAATGAAGGATGGTTCAGAATCTCTGTTACAATCTGGCTGTGCATTTCCCACAAAGGGACAGCAAAAATCACTTTTGGGAAAGTTCAAAAGATTATAAGCAATGTAGGAAACAGAACATAGATAGGTTTAACAGGTGAACATTACAACCACTTGAAAAAAATACTGATTGGTTCAGTTTACAGGAGTGATTAAACCATCGAGAACCCCGGGGTCACAATATTAATAAAAACTTTTAGACACATTGCTTAGTTCAAGATCGATTAACTTGACAGGTGAGAAAGATGGTGATAAACATAGTAATGGACTTTTGTTATATGAAAAGCATGTAACTTACCTAGAAAATCCTTTGTCTTTGAATTTACTTTTGAGTTAGTAATCAAGCGGCCTGAACACTCAGAGGAAGACTCATTCGCTGATATTTGGAGCTCCAAAAGGTTCGATTCATGACAGTAGGCAATAAATGCGGCCAGCAGGACAAGAAAATCCGATAATGCTCTGGGTTCTCCAACCATAAGGTCTTCTGGTACAATGTGATCCAAGTCTACTCCTATTTCTTCAGACAATTTGAACACAATAGCCTCGAAGTTTTCTACACATTCGGTCTCAGCGCGACCACGACGAGGCACTAATAATCATAAGAAATTTGTTCGCAACTTACAAATGTCGCTACCAAATAAGACAACTGCTAAGTCAAAGACGAAAGCAGGAGTAATTTCATGAATACTCTGAATGTAAGGTTCGACGTTAATTAAGGATAGAGCGTTGTTGGCGAGCTGAGTCAAATCTACTAAATAACATTGGAAGATTATTTAAACAGGTATTAAGCATGCCTGATCCACAGTTACAATGTTTTAACCAATCAAACGTCATTACAGCTTAAAAGTCTGACACAAGACAAGCACAGCGCCTACTCACAAGGACGGGAATCGAGAAGAAGAAAAACAAAGTAGTATATAATCTACAAATCGAAATGAGTACGTTGAAACTATAAGATTCTACTATTTTGCCTTCGAAAGAAAAGTAATGGATTGCTTTTTAAGCTCTATCCATGTCAACTAACTCCATCGGTCTCAACCGAGGCAGATAATCTCACTTTTGCTTGATTTTCTGCATCTAAATGATCTGGGTATCGGTAATCTGTGTTAATCCTTCAGGAGAACTTATTTGGCCTTGAGCACAATAACAGATAGGCTTCGATTAAGTATCGATTTCAGAAGTTCATTTGTTTTATAGTAGTTTAGATTTACATTCTATGTGTCACGTTATGAATGATTTAGACTTCTTTCCTATAATTACTGCAGACCGTGAATGCAAGTTTGAATCATTGCGTTCCCACCCTCTTTGGAATTACATAATTTCGAACGACCTCTTAGTAATTAGTAACTTCGTTCACTCGGAATTATCAACGCAGTGAAAGCCAGAGTTGAATATAAGTGATAGCAACTCCTCTACAGTCTGACATTTC